TTATGTTGAATTGAGAAAAGTTATGTTTTTTAATTATATATAGGGAGGATATAAGATTTCTTATATTTTTTATGTAGTATTTATTGAGTAATTTTGTTTACAATTTTTCTATTAAAAATATATTAAACAAGTGAACTTTTTAGTTCCTATATATATATATATTTTTTTTTTTCAGAAATCACTCATTATTTTATCCCAAGATTACCTATTAATTTACCAATTGAGTTACATTTCTTACATACTAAATACTATATGATTAAAATATTTCTTGTTTTATCTGTCCAATATGATACTTATATATTATATTAAAAAAACTAATATAGTAAATAAAAAAGTTATTTAAAATTAGAATAATAAAGATTTTTTTTTTTCTAATCTACATGTATAAATGTACAAATAACTATTGTCTATCACATCAAATTTACACATAAAATTAATAAGAACAAAAAACTAACAAGCGTTTAATAGATTACATCGATAAGTATATTTTTAGACGGTTTATATTTAGTTATATTAATTATATTATTTTTGTTTAGTAGTTGGTTTTATATTTATTAGTACGTGTCACAACTTAGTTATTATTCATATTATTTCTTATATTTAATATTTTTTAAAACTTTATTTTGTTATTTCACATGTTCTTAACTGTAGATTTGTCAAAAAAGACATAATATAAAGTATAGAATTTTTTCGATCATCTGCCTCATTATATATTAAATATCTGTATATTCTATACTATTATATATAATTATAATTTTTTAATTAATATTTAAAATAAATATTTACAATTCATAAATTCATTAATAATATTGTCGAGTCAACTTTTGTTCATAAAATTTTTAAAAATATATTATTTTCATTGATTTGGTTATGTTGAATTGAGAAAAGTTATGTTTTTTTAATCATATATAGGGAGGATATAAGATATGATGACATTAGTATATTACCAATTTGCCATTAGAAACATGTTAAAGTAAGGGTTTTTTAGGTAGTTCATTTTTTAATTAAAAATATAAATAAAATATGATGTGTATTAGTATATTACTAATTTGCCATTAAATTTATGTCAAAGTAAGGGTTTTTTAGGCATTATGAATTTTTACAAAAACACTCCTCCTTTTAAAGTATATATAATATATATATATATAATAGTAAGGATTTTTTAGGCATTATGAATTTTTACAAAAACACTCCTCCTTTTATACTATTAAAGTAGTATAGATATATATATATATAGATATAGATAGATAGATAAACAAACACTCCCATTATAGTATCTGGGAAGAAGTACAAAGCCTAAATCTGAACAGTTGGATTAAGGCAAGCAATACAACAGCCAAAGAAACCCAGTTTAAAAGCATCACAACTGTAACCGACTAATAACGCGAGGAAGAACAAGAAAGAGATAGCATCATCACCAATAGCGCAAAAGAACTTTGTATTACAAAAGGCTAAACATAGGTGATGGCAAAAGTGAAATTAAATAAAAGGATAATTAGCAATAATGTTTATAATATAATCACAATAATTATAATAATATAACAGCATATACAAGAATGCAGTTGTCGTAGTTCATCAAGTAAACATTGAATTTTATACAGCTTCATAGCATCACTACTGATGCAAAGCAAAAACTACTATTGCAGCCATAAACTATTATTGAAGCTGCAGTACCCACAAATATTTACCATACTTCAATAACAAGGACAAATTACTCAAATATGTCAAGAATATACCAAGACATGATTTTCACCTAATTTAAACAAAAACTTAAATAGCATGACAAAATAAATCCTAGTTTCACAGGAAAGAAACTAAAAAAGGACGTTACCTGGGAAGTTCCTGCCATATCTTGGCATCGGTTTGCATTATCAATGTGTACATAGTCTCTATTAGCAACTCTAGACGACAATAATCTCTGCAGTTCTTCTGAAGCAGGCGTTTCAAGTACTTGAGTCACTGCGTTTCCACTCCCATCCTGATCCTCCGCAATAGGTATGAATGAGCATCTACTCTCAGGCAAGGACATGATAGGTGGGGGAATACTTTGAGGGGTACAAAATTGGTTAGGCGATACAGGCATCAGTTGAAGGCAACTGTCCTTACCTCTAAACACACCCCACAGAAAGAATAACATATTCCACCCTGCACAAACATGACAACAAATACGTTGCTAGCACAGAAGGCCACCAAACGCATCATAAAAGCTAATGATTCCACTTGTATATAAATTAAATAGAAAAATAAGGAGAACCATTACTCGAACATATGCAACGAAGCCTACTTTAACCAAATTCACAGAAAGGATAAGTTTGTGTAATACTTTACAAAATATGCTATATAATATGAAAGCTCTCACTAGATCTGTGTGGTTCAAGTAGAAATGACATCAACTGAATCACATTACAAGTAGAAATGCCAGGTGACTTCAGAATAAGAACAGCGAAGAGACCAATCTCTGTAATGCAGACTTCAAATTTCATTTCCATAAAAAGAGGATGTTGCGCACAAGAAGAAATTATGAGAAACTAACTTGCCCAGAAGGGAAAGAAGGTCCACTTAAAACATATAAAAACAAAAAATGCTTTCTTACGCTGGGAATGATCTGGAAGCTGGCTGGAAGGAAATATCAGCAGCTCAACTCCATTTACATTTCCTTTGAGAGCAAGATCATTCTTCATCATATTGTCCAGTAAAACCTTGTAAATCTTGTCGTAGCTGTAACAATACCAAGCCAGCAACTCTTAAAACTGAAGAAAACTGGCAACATAAATCAAATGTGAAAATGGAATGTTGGAAGTATAAAAGTTACCAATCAAGATCTTTAGCAAAAAAATAGAGAGCTATATTATCTTCTCTAACACCATGTTCCTGAAAATGTACGGGCCAGGTGCTTGAGCGAGGCACTTCATAGAGTGAAATTCTTCTTTTAAAGTTGTTTACGGCATCAGTAACTTTCTGTGATGCACATGTTGATACATGAGCTTGGATTCCGTCCCATGAGTCAATAGTTTTACTACTTTGAAATATCTCAAAACTTCCTCTGCACATAAAGTTCATACATAACCAATTAATTTGAGGATCACAAAATACAACACACTACCAAAACCGGCAGGCGGGTGAATATTCAAAAAAGAATTATTAGTGATAAGTGCATACTGCCATATATATTCATGTTCAGGAACTGCTAAGGTTTTAAAAAAAAAAGGCATTCCTGCTTGAACATTAATAAGCACATCCCTTCTGGAATAGTTAATATGGACACCATCTTGTATTGCAGAAGAAAGACCATCGACACGGACCAATGAGGACTGTTTTACAGAATGAGAAGTTTCCTGTTTTTGAGAGTCAGCAGTAAAATTCCTGGAAACTGTAGGTCTCTCATTCAGCTCGGCATCAGAAGACAATTTCTTATTGTTAGTAGAACATGATATAGGATATTCGCGACAAGTTACTTCATCACCCGAGGTTGGCGCGGATGAATCATCAGATTGACTGACAGCTCTATTCTTCCGGTACACTCCTAGTTTCCTTAACACAGCAGCCTCGATGGAAGCTTTAAGGTTATCACCTTCATCTTCTGCATAAATGCCAAATGGTAGTTTAGAGCGGCTTCCAGAACAAATTTTCATTCTCTCACAAGAATTTGTTAAATCCCTAGGCCGAGTCAATTCAACAGGTATACCTTCCTCCATATTAAGTGCAGACCTTTCAACGGCTATAGAATCCGACTTAAAGTTAGTCCGATTAACCTTGTTTTCATTACTGTTGCCTCCATTGGTCGATGGACCCCCAACAGTACAACGCCCATGTGTCAATGGTCTCTTAAAGTCACCTGGTTCGCCAAACAAGATGACGATCTTAGAAGCAACAGAAAACGAAGATGCATCACAAATAAACTCAAAACAGTGCCAGGTTGTACCTGAAGAACTGGTTAGATCTGTAGTTTTTCGAGTAGCAAAACTGGATGATCTTGATAGTGTTGCTGACTTGCTATCAGCCTGTACAGGCTTCACTTCACGGCTATTAGCCATGGTAGCAAGTGAAGACGGTCTTTTATTACTTCTCGATGTAGAACTAACAGAATTACCCATCATTGAGCTCATTGACGAGCGTTCTGCTTTGAAAGGATGCTGACGATCAAATGAACTCCGGTGCTCCGTATTTCTAATGTCCTGGATGTGAGAGAGTCTAGGAGATAACATCTTTACTTTCGATTCAGGACGATCAGAGTTTCTAGATTTACATGACATAGATTTCCCAATCGATCTGACGACACTCTCCTTATGATGAAAAGAGCTAGCTTCCTTAGCTGATTTCTGCCTCTGAATAACAGCTTGATCTACAAGCTTGACCTTTGGTTTTGAATTCAGGGAACCGAATGAATTAGATTTTGAGAAAGTACCTGCAAATTAGGAAACCATCGTTAGAAATTCTGAGATAAGGAACTGAGAGCTTTTCAGGGCATAACTACAACCATGCGGGAACCAACTGGAGAAGTCTGATCAGATTTGTCGACATCACAAGTTGGAAGAGAAAAAGATGTTACCACGTAACCTCGAAAACTATGCACTCTTAGATCTGAAGCACAGCTTCCTGATTCTGTCTTATCATTAACTGGGGCTATGTCTTGAGACTGCACCCTGCCCTTATCTATACTCTTTATGGAATTTTCACGAGTAAGCACGGCTGTTTTGACTGAACTTGAGGGCCTTGGTGATCCAAGATTTGACTCATGAGCAGGCTTCTTCACAATTGAAGAAACTTCGGCATCATCATCATCTCTATGCCTTTTACTAGGAATTCTCGTCGAACCTTTTGATTTCTGTACATCAACATCAGAATTATTTAAATGCTCACTACTATCAATTTCACCCATTATTGCAATCTTTTCTTCCCTTCTCTTGCCCACTAGCTCTAGAGCCTGACACTCTTCACACAGCCATTCACCTTCAGGGACTTTAGTCAGCATCTCTCGCATACAATAGCTGAAAAGAAAAAAAGAGTGATATTTTGGTAGTGAAAGAGTCTAGTGAAATGAATGCTTACGTGTGTTCGGCCCCATCATTGCAATGAGAACAGATAGCAAGCAAATCCTCTCGCCCGGCATCTCCACAGATATCACAAACTTTCATATCCAACAGTGAAACTTCCATCAATTTATAGTAAAAAATAAATAAATGAAAAAGTAGAAAAAATATTATTATTATTATTATTATTATTATTATTATTATTATTATTATTATTATTATTATTATTATTATTATTATTATTATTATTATTATTACTACTCATGAGATCACCAAAAATAATTAAAGGCCACCCCTAAATCTACAAATATTATGATCAGTCTTTCCAAATGCATAACCACTTCAAAAGAAATTGCACCCAGCGCAAACATACCATAGCAACAACGAATGCCATGTGCCAGCTATGGATAATGGTATTGACAGGCAGCTATAGGAATTGTTGCTACATTAAATTCATGTATTATGCAAAGATTTACATACATGGTAAAAATTATTTGGAATTATTGAGGAACATCCAACTGCATCTTTTCTTCCTAAAACTTAATTAATTCAACAATACAAACAACCCAAAAGAAATTATGAAGAATTCTAGCATACACTGCAGTTAGTTCAAGCTGTTCAATTTCAAAAAGACTAGAACATATTTACCAAATGACACAATGGATAAAATTCAATCAAAAATATAAAAAAGCATAATAGAGATTCATTTCCCAACGAGATATTTATATTTGCTGGAAAGATCCCAAGACAATGGGAAATTCTTGTTATGGAAATATGGTTGGAATTGACTATCACAATCTTGAAAATTTACCAGATTCTCGAATTATAAGCTTAAGGATGGAGTAATCTTGAGTCAGTCTTACATCTTGCTCCATCTCATCATCCGGTTGAGCTTCAATCTCCATATGGTCATTCTTTTGAATCGAATTGAAAGCTGTTTCAGGAGGATCACAACAAACAGCAGATGATGCACCTCTGGGCGATATCAAATCCTGGGGTTCAGTTGAGCTTTCCAACAGTTCGTTCTTTTATAACAGAATTCTTGTCATCTTTCACATCTATTGAGTACTAGGAAGATGCACACGTGATATTGTTTCTTCTTTTTTTACTTAGAATTTATTTTATTATTAGATTTAATTTAATAGTATAATCTAATTTCCTTTCTATTATTTAACAAAAAAATGGTGAATTTTATAAGAAACAATAGTAAATATATTGAATAAAACAATACACTATTTAATACTATTAAACGAACTCTATGACAAATAAAAGTAAATATTGAGTTAGAAATCCAAAATAAAATTAATATTTTTTTTGTGAAATTTTAAATGCTAAATAAATCTATGTCGTCTTTGATTTTATTATTTAATGATCTTGGCATTATGCTGAAAATAATGACATTACTATTGTCAATATAATATAGTTTTTAAATGTCTTTCTTTTTCGTAATACTCTTGAAAAATAACTCTAATTTGCTATAGCTATAATTTGTAATTATCATTTTCTATTGTTGATTGTAAGTTAACTCTAATTCGTGATACTATTGTCAATATCATTTTTTTTATTGTTGATTGTAATTATCACTATGGTAGTTGAATGCTTTGTTCTCTATTATTTTAATCATACGGTTGCAAATTCAATTATGTTGCACTTATAATATTATATAATATTGAGAATGGATCATATGAGAATGATAGATAGTGAAAGAAATGAGAATTAATTTGTACCATTGGATCCAACATATCAATGGTTCTCATGAAGTCAAATTTAAATATGTAAGTCAAAACAAGTAATGGCAATCCAGTAATTAGGTG